GTTAGGAAGACATTCTCTGTGGCTTCTAGCCAGTAGGGACAGATAAAGCTGGTGGCTTCTAGCCAGTTAGGGACAGAAAAACCTCTTTTGCTTCTAGCAGTTAGGGACAGATCAAGCTCTGTGGCTTCAAGCCAGTTGGGAGACCGATCAGCTCTGTGGCTTTAGCCGTGGTGACAGATCAAGCTTGTGGTTCAGCCAGTTAGGTGACAGATTCAAGCTCTGTGGCTTCTAGCCAGTTAGGAGACAGATCAAGCTCTGTGGCTTCTAGCCAGTTAGGTGACAGATAAAAATTGGTGGCTTTTAGCCAGTTAGGTGACAGATCAAGCTCTGTGGCATCTAGCCAGTTAGGTGACAGATCAAGCTCTGTGGCGTCTAGTCAGTTAGGTGACAGATCAAGCTCTGTGGCTTCTAGCCAGTTAGGAGACAGATCAAGCTCTGTGGCTTCTAGCCAGTTAGGAGACAGATCGTTCTCTGTGGCATCTTGCCAGTTAGGTGACAGATCAAACTCTGTTGCTTCAAGCAAGTTAGGTGACAGATCAAGCTCTGGGGCTTCTAGCCAGTTAGGAGACAGATCAAGCTCTGTGGCTTCTAGCCAGTTAGGTGACAGATCAAGCTCTGGGGCTTCTAGCCAGTTAGGTGACAGATCAAACTCTGTAGCTTCTAGCCGGTTAGGTGACAGATCAAGCTCCGTGGCGTCTAGCTAGTTTGGTGACAGATCAAGCTCTGTGGTGTCTAGCCAGTTAGGTGACAGATCAAGCTCTGTTGCTTCAATACAGTTAGGTGACAGATCACGCGCTGTGGCTTCAAGCCAGTTAGGTGACAGATCAAGCTCTGTGGCTTCAAGCCAGTTAGGTGACAAGTGTATATGTAGTGGAAGGTACTGCAGGCCAAATTTAAACCTGGGATAATAGCAAACAAACTGAGCAAATAAGTCAAACTAAAATAAAATGGCATCACTTCCCAAAATGCACACACACACACACACAAACACACACACACACAGCAATAGGAAATCAAACAGAAGACCGGTGAGAGAGCAAGCAAACGGTTTCCGTGAGCTGGTCAGGAAACAGGATATCTATTCTATAAAAAGAAAAAAGGTCCAATCAAAAGGCCTTTCTGTGGCTGGCAGCCAGACAGACTGAACCAACTAAACTGACACTGTGGGTGGCATGCCAGCAGCTTACATAGGCTGAGTTTACACAGGCAGCCCAATTCTAATCTTTTGCCTAATCATTCGTCTTTTGATCTATCAGATCAGATATTTTGCCAATTATTGGACAAAATATCAAAATTAGGCTGCCTGTGTAAACGCAGCCCAGATGCCTGAAAAACTAACAGGTTCTGCCATTCCTGAGGTTAGGAATGATCTGTTCTGAGTAATGAGATACAGACATTTTCTTTTACCTAAATCTAAGTCCCCTCAGACCATATCTCCTATATGAGTCAGCATTTTACTAGAGCTCTCCTAATAGGTGATTTACTGACAGTGGTGTGTTTTAAATCAAAACCCCATTTTATTTGGCTAATAACAGGGCGCCTTGTATTGATCCATGAGGCAAAAGGGTTTAAAAGGTGAGAAAATACACTACATGACCAAAAGTATGTGGACACCTACTCGTCAAACATCTCATTCCAAAATCATTGGCATTAATATGGAGTTGATCCCCCCTTTGCTGCTATAGCATCCTCCACTCTTCTGGGAATTCTTTCCACTAGATGTTGGAACATTGCTGCGGGGACTTACCTCCATTCAGCCACAAGAAAATTAGTGAGGTCGGGCACTGATGTTGGGCGATTAGGCCTGGCACACAGTCGGCGTTCCAATTAATCCCAAAGGTGTTCGATGGGGTTGAGGTCAGGGCTCTGTGCAGGCCAGTCAAGTTTTTCCACACCGACCTCGACAAACCATTTCTGTATGGACCTCGCTTTGTGCACGTGAAACAGGAAAGGGCCTTCCCTAAACTGTTGCCACAAAGTTGGAAGCACAGAATTGTCTAGAATGTCATTGTATGCTGTAGCTTTAAGATTTCCCTTCACTGAAACTAAGGGGCCTAGCCCGAAAAATGAAAAACAGCCCCAGACCATTACTCCTCCTCCACCAAACTTTACAGTTGGCACTATGCATTCGGGCAGGTAGCCTTCTCCTGGAATCCGCCAAACCTAGATTCGTCCATCGGACTGCCAGATGGTGAAGCGCGATTCATCACAGGCAGAGAACACGTTTCCACTGCTCCATAGTCCAATAGCAGCAAGCTTTACACCACTCCAGCCGACGCTTGGCATTGCGCATGGTGATCTTAGGCTTGTGTGCAGCTGCTTGGCCATGGAAACCCATTTCCTACTAACAGTTTTTGTGCTGACTGCTTCCAGAGGCAGTTTGGAACTCGGTAGTGAGTGTTGCAACCGAGGACAGACTATGTTTTACGCACTGCGTGCTTCAGCACTCGGCGGTCCGTTCTGTGAGCTTGTGTGGCCTACCACTTCGCGTTTGAGACGTTGTTGCTCCTAGATGTTTCCACTTCACAATAACAGACAGCACTTACAGTTGGCCAGGGCAGCTCTAGCAGGGCAGAAATGTGACGAACTGACTTGTTGGAAAGGTGGCATCCTATGACGGTGCCATATGAAAGTCACTGAGCTCTTCAGTACTGCCAATGTTTGTCTATGGAGATTGCATGGCTGTGTGCTCAATTTTATATACCTCTCAGCAACGAGTGGGGCTGAAATAGCCGAATCCACTATTTTGAAGGGGTTTCCACATTACTTTTGTATATATAGTGTATAATACTGATCTGATTGATCAACTCAGCTTTTGTCTCAAGCTGACTACAGCCAGTGAGTTTGACACAGGTGGAGATGGTCAACAGTGAACAGAATTCAATGTTTGTAGCCACAAACCAGTTGTTTTCATCTCATTGTTTCCCAAATGGTGGATCTTACTAGTGTGTTGCGGCTACGTCCTGTCCTGTTAGGTGCTTTTTTTGTTTTGTGCCAGATGGGTCACGATGACATTCAACAATACTTCGGTGGGTCAAAGTTCAAAACAGTTTGGGAACTGCTGGACTAGCCGTTCTCTCTCTACTTGAAATTCAAGGTTCCCTGATTATCATATGAATACAGCCAGACTGTGTCCCCAGCAGACGGACAGGGTGCTCCTTAATGAACGCTGCTGTGCCACCTTACATCGTATATCTGCTGGAACAAAGTACCATATATCACCAGGCCTGTCTAGACCATCATTACCCTCTGGGGTCCCCCTGCTTGTTCTCTGAAGGCACACACACGTACACACACTGGGGTTCCCTGCTTGCCCGTTTGTCCTCTAGAGAGAGAGAGAACATTGTTACCCAAGTCTCCCTCCCCGCTTGCCTCCTGCCATCCGTCTTCTGTCTGCCATCTCCCCTCACCCTCACCCCACCTTGCCCTTCGTTGACTGTCACCCAGGGCAAGCTGACAGTGCCACAAAGAATGAAGAAGGGAAGGAAGAAACAGAAGGGTGGGGAGAGGAGGAAAGAGGTGGAGGGAGGGGAGGAGGTAGAGGAGGAGGGAGAGGAGGAAGGAGGTAGAGGGAGAGGAGGAGGAAGAGGAAGAATGAGGTGGAGGGAGGGGGAGGAGGGAGAGGAGGAGGGAGAGGAAGAAGAAAGAGAGAAGGGTGGAGAGGAGAAACAAGCTGGCAGGACATTAGGCGTTCATGCTTCAGCACGTTATCATTCAAGACTTCTATTGTCTGTCCAGCCCAGAGATGTCCTATTTGAGCACTATAGCCCCCCAGCCAACCACACAGTCCAGTACGCACCTGGAAGTACACACATATGCAAACACACGCATGCACTCCTCTCTATGACAACCAAGACTAAATATCACAATAACAACAAAAACAGAAACCTGGGGTCTGGGTGACAGGATCCCAACACTCCCACCACAGAAACAGAAACACTCCCAGCATCAATAACTCCAGTCCCTTTGTCTCCCACACAAAGGCTGTCTTTGGAAATGCCAAGAAGGAGAGAAAAAGGTGCCACTCTTTATTCGTTCCTCATTCCCCCTCTCCCTCGTTCCCCTTTTCCCTCACGGCTGTTCTGAAAGGAAAATCAACAGGCGTGCAGGGAAAGAGGTGGAACTCTAGGTGTATGAGTTTGAATAGATCTCTGCAGGATAACGTTTCAGTGCCAGTGCCATTCACACACATAACAGCCATAAGCTGGATAAACAGTACAGTACAATACAGTACAACCCATTGAATGATTTATAATTGGTGGAAGCAGAAAATAAAGTTTTCTAAACCTTTGATCTACTATCTCCGACCTTTGTCACGGTGAGTTTGAGAGAAGGCCAAGTCAAGCTGAGTTGGATCCAGTGTAATAAAGCAACAAATCTAATAATCAGGAATGCCCTTTGGAACGATTAACAGGGGATAGGGCAGCTTAAGCTGAGCAATGGCAACATATACAGTGAGAGAGCTAGAGAGAGAGAGAGAGAGAGAGAGAGAGAGAGAGAGAGAGAGAGAGAGAGAGAGAGAGAGAGAGAGAGAGAGAGAGAGAGAGAGAGAGAGAGAGAGAGAGAGAGAGAGAGAGAGAGAGAGAGACAGAGAGAGACAGAGAGAGAGAGACAGAGAGAGAGAGATACTTGAAAAGCATTGAGTAAAAAAGATATGAAATTAATCTGATAACCTTTTACATGTTTTATAAAAAAACTTTTATTCACACATTCACAACTGGCCCCTAAATGCTGTACAACTACAGAGCAACTCTATGCGCTCCAACATGACAACCCCTTTGACCAGAGCAGTGAATGTGCAGTCCCACAGATCTCTATGGAAGGCCGATATGATCACATCATACATTTCTCATCAGGTCTACATATCTCCCAATAGTATGGATGAGGGTTAACTTATGCATTTAATGTCAATCCACACACAATATGATACTGTGAACATCTGTGGGAGCTGCTAGAGTTGCTGACCAGTTCAGGAACAGTCAGAAATGGCTCCACTAGGATGATGATGATGATGATGATGATAGATCAGAGAATTAGTATAACATACATAGCTCCAGGTTTTAACTAGATTTTTTTTCCACCTACTAAGGTGGCTAAACAGAGAGGAGTTTTGATTGAATATGTGTACAGAGCACTGAGAGGTGATAAGCGTCTGATTGGATGTAACAATCCCAACAACACGCAACATGGCTGCTTTACACACAACAGAATGTTCTACTCATTCCACGGTCACCTGCGTGCATTCTTCTCTGCATGCATATAAACAGTTTGACACTTCATAGAAAATGGCTGCTGTGGTTTGTCATTGGTAAATTGCTTCCCGATAATAACACTGGACTCATGCAATAACTTTTAACAGTCTGGATAAATCTTTGTTACATTTCTAAAACAAAACAATAACAACATAACCAGGCTTGACACCGTGTACTCTACAGTACTCCTACAGCACACATTCAGTATATTACTGTATATTACTGCATATAACAGTATATTACTGTATATCACAGTATAGCGTCATATTCACATGAGACTAGCATAGTCCCTTCATATGATGTAGAATAGACAGACCACGGACACACAGGGCACGCCACAGAGATACACTGACCGTACTAGATTACTTTGGGGTTGATTAAATTCGTAGCAGTCTGAGAAAAGCCACTCAGAACATTCAGTGTGCATTATAATGTCTGTATGTCAACCTCCACAGAGCAGTCATAAGGCCCATGCTCCAGGTGATGGTTCTCCATCATCCCCTGGTGTCTCACCTAGCATCAGCCACCATACTTCACCTGCTAGTAGGCAGTGGTTATTCATCCACTGGGTGGCTAGCAGAGCCATCTCTCCATTACAAACACATTAGCGTTGGTTCGACAGAGGATCAACCTATTTAGTACCTTCTCCTTCCGTTTGGTTATGGATGGATGAGCACTTCGTTCACATTCAGAAAATACCTACCTAGTGATAAGGATTACAGAGACACAAACTATTACCATCAGCTTTGTTAGATTCCCACCCAGACAGTTCTGTCCACAGTGCACACAGTCTGCGAGGTCCACAGCACCAATACACAGTACGTTTTCACACAAAACCCCTGTAGGAGGTTCAGACTGACCACCCGGACCAAGACCAGACCCAGACCCAGATCTCAGAACTCTCCATCCCCGTTCTCAACGTACTCCGGCAGGCTGTTGATCACCGTCTCTTCACTCTTGGACTGGAGGGGAAGCTCCCCTTTCTTGGATTGTTTTTTAGTGGCTCTGGACAGCTTCCTCCTGAACGTGTCCCCAGCCAGGAAGTAGAGGACCGGGTCCACACAGCTGTTGAGGCTGGCCAGCCCCCGCGTCACCTGGTAGGTGGCGTACACGCGGTTATTAAAGTCACACATGTCCGGGCCCTGGAAGTACAGCCTGGCTCGCATGTTCAGGTTCTTCATCACGTGAAAGGGCAGGTAGGACACAGCGAACACGGCCAGCACGATAATCACCAGGTGGATGGACTTACGCCGTAACGGGCCGTTGTTCATGTCTTTACATATCAGCACCTTGACGATCATCCCATAGCAACCCAGGATGATGACGAAGGGGACGCAGAAGCCGAACACGGTCAAACACATGCTATAGATGAAGTAGCCCGGCAGCTCATCCTCCGTGGTCGTGTCGTAGCACGTGGTCGCGTTACGTTTCTCCCCCGTCCTGGAGTAGTAGAGGATGGGAGAGATTGCCGCTATGACCACGACCCAGACCAGGGCGCTGGTCAGGGCGGCGTTCTTCTTCTTGAGCCTGCCCAGGGACTCGAGCGGGTGGACCACTCCTGTGTACCTGTGGACACTGATACAGGTCAGGAACAGGATGCTGCCGTACAGATTCACGTGGAATATAAACCTCTGCAGTCGGCAGAGAACGTCCCCGAATATCCAGTCTGTCTTATTAAAGTAGTAGAAGATGAGGAACGGGAGGGAGAGGACGTAGCAGAAGTCGGCCAGGGCCAGGTTGAACATGTATACAGAGATGCTGCTCCAGGGTCTCATGTGGCAGACGAACATCCAGATGGCCAGACTGTTCCCCACCAGGCCGGCGACGAACACCAGGATGTACACGGTGGGTAGGTAGTAGAACTGGAAGCCTGTCCTGGTCAGGGAACATCCCCCGTGTGTTGCCTTGTGGAGATCAGACACATTCAGGAGGGATGTCAGGGTCACGTTCAGATCGGTTGTTGTCATGTTGTCAGGGAAATGCAGGTGTTTTTACTGTATAGAGGGAAAGTAAAGAAAATCAATCAATCAAGTTCAGGGAGATATTTATCTACATAATTAGTATTTTAAACAGTCTATTATAATAAAGCTTTTAATCCCAGTAGTTTATACAAAATGGCATGTACAGTAATGTATATGGTTACTGGTCTAGCATTAGAAACTCAATGGAGAAGGAAAAGCCGATCTCTCCACAGCCAATCTGGAAGCCAAAATACGCACAGAAATAGCCTAGGCTACATATTGCAAAACCATCCCAGTCACCGAAGGAAAAAACATACAAGTTGAACATACACTAGCCTAGTCACCGTTGACATCTATCCCGCATTCCTACAGCCTTTTTTGCGTTTGAACAGATTTCAAACATAGGCTACATACACAGCCGAACGGAGAGCGGTTGAGACTGTCGAGTCAGAAGTCCCTGTTCCTCAGTCTCAAACAAAGCTCTCCGGCTCTGCAAAATGACACTCCGTCTGGTTCGTTCGCTGTCACAGTAAAAGTCCACCACCGTTCGTTGCACTCGACGACAGTGAACGGCGACAGAGCGCAAGGCAAGACAACTGCGAGCACTCTCTCGCAAGAGAGCGCAGGAATTACAAACGCGCTGAGGGGAGGGGCGCCACCACCAGAACTGCGAAGCTCCTCGAACGCGCTCTTTCTTTTCCGCCTACCAACTCCTCATCTGACATACCGGTTTAAAAACTACAAAGTACAGTCCGTCGAGGTCACTGTAATAATACTAATGTGGGTTGTTGATTCTTGGCAGCTACTGCTGATCCTACACACGTCATTTACGGAGTGCACACAGCAGGAGAGTAGAGAGTGTGTATGTTGGGCCGTGCTGGCATGTTGGAAGGAGATCATTAATATTGTGCAAGAGGGGTATGTCAAAAGGCTGCGATTGCTTTCTATTCCTTGAAAGGTTGTGCTAGGACTAGACTGTTATATCGTTCTTTAAGGGCCTATGTCTAGTGTGACACAGTGGCAGTCTGACCACCGGAAACTGCTCTGAGAATAATACAAGTGTCTATCTCATAGAGCATGTGGATAAATGGTTTGCAATACATTTTTATTTCCTACTATGCTCACAGCAAAATCAAATGGCTCAGTGGAATTCCAGATACATTTGACAGCTGTGCAGAGAGATGTCATGCTCAATGGCAATGTTTTGGAAACCCAAAGGGTATACTGTAGTAGTGGCATTAAGCCAAAACGCTGGAATGGAGGACCCAACTGTGAAACAGTGAAAAAAGTGAGAGTTGTGGACATTATGTAGTGTTTAAACAGTTTATGACTTTGTTGATGTTTGCAAATGGTGTGTTAGAGGAAGTCTGTTAGGTGGCCTCCTGGGATTGGTTTATGGGAAACACCCATATTATGTTACATAGGGCATAGGATATAAATACCACGGTTAAAACAAAGGAGGACAGACCAACATATTATTTTGGGTCCGTTGTTCTCCAGATGCCTGCAGATGTCTGTAAACTTACGCTGAAATCCTTTGAAATAATAAACCTTTATAATCAAAGTACAGTGTAAGCGGACTCCTTGTTCTCACAGCATAATTAGCAACATATTTTTAGATACCACAATTATCTAGCTAGCTTCCTGAGTGATAGATGCATCTATGGTTGACTTTAAATCCTTGATTGAGTGGTTTATGTTGTGTTTGCATCTATGGAGAGGACTCTCACTGAATATATAATGTTTTGATGATAAAATCTATTGCCTATGTCCAACAGTAGTTCTCTTATGATCTAGTGTTGAGGGAATACCGACAACAACATGACCCATATTACTTGGAGTAATTCAAGCCTTTTATTTATCTTATTACATCCTATATGTTGTAGTCTTGTTGTCATCCTGTTCTATCCATCTGAATGATAACCACACCCTGAGATGTATCATAATATGGCAGTTCTATACTACACAACATCAGGCAAGAATGGAAGGGCGTGTGTGTGTGTGTGTGTCTGTGTGTGTGTGTGTGTGTGTCTCTCTGCTGTGGTCATCTGCAGGTGCTCTGAAACAGCTGAGACAGCAGGAGCTTGATGTTCCATTTGACAGTCATCTCTAATAATATATGTGACTGTGTATAGCCTATGTGGTAATACATATTTGTATGTCTCTGTGTGTGTGTGTGTGTGTGTGTGTGTGTGTGTGTGTGTGTGTGTGTGTGTGTGTGCACCTATATATAGTACACCATACAGTGGCTTGCGAACGTATTCACCCCCGTTGGCATTTTTCCTGTTTTGTTGCCTTACAACCTGGAATTAAAATTGATTATTTGGGGGTTTGTATCATTTGATTTACACAACATGCCTACTACTTTGAAGATGCAAAACATGTTTTATTGTGAAAAAACAAGAAATAAGACAAAAAACAAGAACTTGAGCGTGCATAACTATTCACCCCCCCAAAGTCAATACTTTATAGAGCCACCTTTTGCAGCAATTAAAGCTGCAAGTCTCTTGGGGTATGTCTCTATAAGCTTGGCACATCTAGCCACTGGGTTTGTTTCCCATTCTTCAAGGCAAACCTGCTCCAGCTCCTTCAAGTTGGATGGGTTCCGCTGGTGTACAGCAATCTTTAAGTCATACCACAGATTCTCAATTGCATTCCAAGACATTAAAATGTTTCCCCTTAAACCACTCGAGTGTTGCTTTAGAAGTATGCTTAGGGTCATTGTCCTGCTGGAAGGTGAACCTCCGTCCCAGTGAACCTCCGTCCGTCCCTGTATTTAGCGCCATACATCATTCCTTCAATTCTGACCAGTTTCCCAGTCCATACCAATGAAAAACATCCCCACAGCATGATGCTGCCACCACCATGCTTCACTGTTGGGATGGTGTTCTCGGGATGATGAGAGGTTTGCACCAGACATAACGTTTTCCTTGATGGCAAAAAAGTCTCATCTGACCAGAGTACCTTCTTCCATATGTTTAGGGAGTCTCCCACATGCCTTTTGGTGAACACCAAACGTGTTTGCTAATTTTTATCTTTAAGCAATGGCTTTTTTCTGGCCACTCTTCCGTAAAGCCCAGCTCTGTGGAGTGTACGGCTTAAAGTGGTCCTATGGACAGATACTCCAATCTCCGCTGTGGAGCTTTGCAGCTCCTTCAGGGTTATCTTTGGTCTCTTTGTTGCCTCTCTGATTAATGCCGTCTTTGCCTGGTCCGTGAGTTTTGGTGGGCGGCCCTCTCTTGGCAGGTTTGTTGTGGTGCCATATTCTTTCCATTTTTTAATAATGGATTTAATGGTGCTCCATGGGATGTTCAAAGTTTCTGATATTTTTTTATAACCCAACCCTGATCTGTACTTCTCCACAGTTTTGTCCCTGACCTGTTTGGAGAGCTCCTTGGTCTTCATGGTGCCGCTTGCTTGGTGGTGCCCCTTGCTTAGTGGTGTTGCAGACTCTGGTGCCTTTCAGAACAGGTGTATCTATACTGAGATTATGTGACAGATCATGTGACACTTAGATTGCACACAGGTGGACTTTATTTAACTAATTATGTGACTTCTGAAGGTAATTGGTTGCACCAGATCTTATTTAGGGGCTTGATATCAAAGTGGTTGAAAACATATGTACGCACCACTTTTCCGTTATTTATTTTTTTAAATTTTTTTGAAACGAGTTATTTTTTCATTTCACTTCACCAATTTGGACTATTTTGTGTATGTCCATTACATGAGATCAAAATAAAAATCCATTTAAATTACAGGTTGTTGTCACGACTCCCTCCGAAGCTGCCACCTCTTCTTGTTCGGGTAGGCTTCGGCGTTCGTCGTCATCGGCCTTCTAGCCACTGCCGCTCCTCATTTCATCATTCCATTGGTTTTGTCTTGTTCATTATACACACACCTGGTTCATATCCCCTCATCAGTGCCTGTATAAGTGTTCCCTCTGCCCCCCTTGTCTTTGTTTATTGTGAGGATAATGAAGCTCGGTGGAGCTCTTTGTATTGTGTATCGCCGGGTTATTTTCCCAGGGTGCCTTGTTGCTTCCAGTAAGCCTGTTTTGCGCACTGGACTGTTTCGACGCATTACTGCGTAACTCTGTTTTCCGGAATAAATCCTGTTATTCTGTGATTTACCCTCCTGCGCCTGACTCCTTCAACTCACCCATCACAGTTGTAATGCAGAAAAAATAGGAAAAATGCCAAGGGGGATGAATACTTTTGCAAGGCACTGTATGTGTACAGCTGGAATCAGCAAGGAAGTTAGGGCTGTGTTAGAGGACTGGGTTTCTAAAACAAAGCCAAGAAATGGCCTCTGCACCTGTCACTCCTCACTGCCAAACACTCTGGCGCCGGAGGGGATGGCCGACGTTTTATGGACTCTTAACCAACTGTGCTATTTTGTGTGTTTTTTTGCATTGTTTGTAACTTATTCTGTACATTATGTTGCTGCTACCGTCTCTTATGACCGAAAATAGCTTCTGGACATCAGAACAGCGATTACTCACCTTGAACTGGACTAATAATTTTTCTTTAATGAGTCGGATGAGAGGGATTTGCTCCAGACACCCGACAGGGCCCTCATCCCCGTCATTCGCAGTAGAAAGAAAGGAGATATCGCGGAAGGAGATCGGGTTGCCTGGTAAGGAGCCGGCAACAAGTAGCTCATCTGCCTTTGCCATCGATACTATTGGCCAATTTACAATCTCTTGATAATAAAGTGGACGAACTACAGGCACGAATATCCTACCAACGGGACATAAAAAAACTGTAATATCTTATGTTTCACCGAGTCGTGGCTGAACGAAGACATGAATAACATACAGCTGGCGGGTTATACACTGTATCGGCAGGATAGAACAGAAGCCTCTGGTAAAACAAGGGGTGGCTGTATATGTATATTGGTAAACAACAGCTGATGCACGATATCTAAGGAAGTCTTGAGGTTTTGCTTGCCTGAGGTAGTCATGGTGTCCAGGCCCATACTGGAGGAAGGGAGGTTGCTATTACACCTGTTATAGCAGGACCTCTCCTTCATGGTGTCCAGGCCCATACTGGAGGTTGCTATTACACCTGTTATAGCAGGACCTCTCCTTCATGGTGTCCAGGCCCATACTGGAGGAAGGGAGGTTGCTATTACACCTGTTATAGCAGGACCTCTCCTTCATGGTGTCCAGGCCCATACTGGAGGAAGGGAGGTTGCTATTACACCTGTTATAGCAGGACCTCTCCTTCATGGTGTCCAGGCCCATACTGGAGGAAGGTAGGTTGCTATTACACCTGTTATAGCAGGACCTCTCCTTCATGGTGTCCAGGCCCATACTGGAGGAAGGGAGGTTGCTATTACACCTGTTATAGCAGGACCTCTCCTTCATGGTGTCCAGGCCCATACTGGAGGAAGGGAGGTTGCTATTACACCTGTTATAGCAGGACCTCTCCTTCATGGTGTCCAGGCCCATACAGGAGGAAGGGAGGTTGCTATTACACCTGTTATAGCAGGACCTCTCCTTCATGGTGTCCAGGCCCATACTGGAGGAAGGGAGGTTGCTATTACACCTGTTATAGCAGGACCTCTCCTTCATGGTGTCCAGGCCCATACTGGAGGAAGGGAGGTTGCTATTACACCTGTTATAGCAGGACCTCTCCTTCATGGTGTCCAGGCCCATACTGGAGGAAGGGAGGTTGTACTCTGAATCTTTTACATTTTAGTCATTTAGCAGACGCTCTTATCCAGAGTAACTTACAGTTAGTGAGTGCATACATTATTTTATTTTTAATACTGGCCCCCCGTGGGAATCGAACCCACAACCCTGGCGTTGCAAACACCATGCTCTACCAACTGAGCTACATCCCTGCCGGCCATTCCCTCCCCTACCCTGGACGACGCCGCCCCATGGGTCTCCCGGTCACGGCCAGCTACGACAGAGCCTGGATTCGAACCAGGATCTCTAGTGGCACAGCTAGCACTGCGATGCAGTGCCTTAGACCACTGCGCCACTCTGGAGGTTAAATGTGATCTTATATTATTAAAACCCAACTATCTCTCAAGTAGAGATGGTGATGTGGGAGTTGGGGAACAACTCAGAGGCCCTCTCTGCTACTCTGTTGACCAGGCTGCCTGCTCTCTCCTGCTCCTCTCGCAGGTTGTTGGTGCCGGTGTGAATAATAATGTGGCCTGGTGTGCCAAGTCAGGCTGGGACAGGATGTGGAGTGCATCCTGTGTTTTTGGGCACTGTATTATGGACACCTTATGGTGGGGGAAGAGTTTATCCTCTTGGATGAATTTCCCATTTGAGTCAATGAGGATGGCCACCTCAGTGGGTTTTACCAGAGTAGTGGGTTTACGGTGTGGGTCTGGGGCTGGGGTACACCTTTACCTCCTCAAGCTCTGTGGTGAGGCTCTCTCCTCATGGTGACCTTTACCTCCTCAAGCTCTGTGGTGAGGCTCTCTCCTCATGGTGACCTTTACCTCCTCAAGCTCTGTGGTGAGGCTCTCTCCTCATGGTGACCTTTACCTCCTCAAGCTCTGTGGTGAGGCTCTCTCCTCATGGTGACCTTTACCTCCTCAAGCTCTGTGGTGAGGCTCTCTCCTCATGGTGACCTTTACCTCCTCAAGCTCTGTGGTGAGGCTCTCTCCTCATGGTGACCTTTACCTCCTCAAGCTCTGTGGTGAGGCTCTCTCCTCATGGTGGCCTTTACCTCCTCAAGCTCTGTGGTGAGGCTCTCTCCTCATGGTGACCTTTACCTCCTCAAGCTCTGTGGTGAGGCTCTCTCCTCATGGTGGCCTTTACCTCCTCAAGCTCTGTGGTGAGGCTCTCTCTCAGCTCCTGGACAGAGATCTTCAGCTGGGTCCTGCACTGGTTGATCTGGTCCTGTAGAAGCTCTGTGTCTGGGCTGGAGCTGGTGTAGCTGGGGGGGGGCTGCTCCTTTAGCTCAGTAAC